CGGCACCTCCCCCGCCCCCTGCTGGCCTGCCACTTGGTTCCTCTCCCCCACCGTCCCCACCGCGAGGAGAAAAGGCCGCTCTGGGAAACGCTCTGAGGGAAATAAAAATATTTGTGCTTGAAAAAATTCTCTGCTGAGCTGCAAGCCAAGGGAGGCGGCGGGGTGCCAGGAGCCGAGCCGGTCCCCTCGCCTGCTCAGCTGTTACGTGTGTGTTCAGCCCCTCCCATGATGGGGAGACGCTACTGTGCGCACATTGGCCCGTGCTCCCCCTTTTCGCCCACGCACCTCTGAAGGGCTGCCCCGGGGGATACCTTTGTACCAGGTGCCACGTTCAAAGCAGCTCACTGGAGCTGTGGTATGGCCCTGTGTGGCCCACCCGCCGCTGGGCTGGACACGGACCCAAGCCTGAGAACTAGGGTTGCCAGATGAGTTCAACACAAACAGCGGACACGCTCGACATCACCTCACCATCTACATCACATCTCACTTAGAAAACACCGGGCCCTTCCATTGTCTCATCTCTAGTTTCTCAATTTGTTTCCCGAACAGAAGCTCAAATACTGGACGGTCCGGTTCCAAACCGGACACCTGGCAGCCCTACTGACGACATTTCTGCTGCTGAATATTCTTTGCTGCTGGGAAAAGCCCCACTGAAATCGAGGGAGCAAAGTTACTCGTGTGGCTAAGTGTTTACCAGGGGAGAGCCCCTCCAGGGCGGGAGAGCTGTGAATAACGCTCATCTGCAAAGCCACCCCCATGCTCCCCCTTCGAATCGCTCCCTTCCAACTCCCCTCTGCTGAGTCCTACAATGGCGCTGCAGCTGGGGCATGCTGACTGCTGCCTGTCACAAGGCTGAGACCCAGCCGGCTGTCGCCGGGCGCTGGCCTTGGCCTCTGCGCCATGGCCACCTGCGGCCTTTCACTGCATCCGCCGGTGGCATCCTGGTACCGCCGGATACGGCACTTGCGCACCAGTGGCGACTACAACACGACTGAATAACGAGGAGGGATGCTGGGCAGAGACAGTCCCGATGCTCCCGCTCACACACACACACACACACGCATGCACACAAACACACACACACGCACACGCTTGCACATGCACACACACACGAACATGCATGCATGCACACACACATGCACACACGCTTACGCACATGCATGCAAATATGCACACACACACACAATCACACACACACACACCGGCTTGCATGTGCGCACACGCACGCGCACACACGCACACACGCAAGCTGAAAAGGCAAAGTGGGAACCCACGATGCTGCAAACAGCCCCGGGCCCTCAGGCAAAGGGGCTGAAGCCCCAGAGAGACTCTGGAGGCAAAAGTGAGGCGCTGCCGTGTGGTTTGTCCCCCTGCTCGTTCTTGCCAAAATCACAAGCTGCTCTGCAAAGGTTTGTGCCTCACTCGCGGTTTGTGCCTCAGCAGTTGCCAGCTCGGCGGGTTTGTTTCCGGCCTGTTTGTCTCTGACGCGCCCGTTAGACTCTACATCGTAATCACCACCCTCCCTCCCACGCACCTGCCCAGCAGGGCAGGTGGCCGGGGTTGGTCCCCCCATCAGAGAGGCTTTCCATTGGGCGCGGTGGGACCTGCCCCCAGCCATCGCCCGGCAGCTCCTCAGACACCCCGCAGGGCCGGGGACCGTCCGAGCGAGGCCTAGCGCCGCAGTGAGCTGCAGTGGCAGGAGAGAGCAGGCCCAGGGAGCCTTTTGGTCCTGGGCCCCTGGCTCCGGGGAGGAGCGCGCTCGCTTTGCGTGAGCCGGCAGGCTGAGCCAGGGGGCCTGCAGTGGCGTGGGCTGACCGCTCCTGTCCCCCCAGGAGTTGGGCCGGCTTCTCGTCACCCAGGACTTCTGAAACG